GCAGCCCAAAATACATGAGAATAAATACTAATAAATTGCAGGTCTCTGCTGCTCAACTTTTTCTGATCTCATTTTCTGATCTCATTTTTCTCATCTCTCATCAACTTTTTTTGATCTCATCTGATCTTGACTTTTTCTGATCTCATTTGTGTTCTTGTTCACTTGTTGTCCTGTAAAGCATCTTCCAATCATTAACTTCTGCTAGCTTTGATTCCTTTCAACCTGTTTTCAGTTTGACTAATATCCTGTCAACTTTGATCCCATTTGACTTTTTGTCCTTGGACTGTTTCAGGCTTTACTTTGACCCCACTCAACTGTTATTCCTGTTCAATTTTGGCTGTGGATTTTTCAGCTTCATTTTTATCCTTGTTGGCTATTTACACTGAATTGTTCCATTTGATTTCTTGGCGGGGAACCAGTTCACCATGTGAAGTTGGTAACTATGGTGCCCCAAACTCTTAGTGCTCAGATTGTATGATGTGCATATGCATGCACTAAAATTAGCACAGTTATATCTGCTCCAAAGGTATTACAAAAATAAGCTCAAATGTGGCCTAACATGCTTCAGCCATGTTATGAATTTTGCACAGCAATCTATCTGCTGGTATAGCAGCTGTAGGCACCACACCTAGAAATACCTGAAGCAAAAAAAAAAACAGAATGAAAACGGTGCACATTGCATGTGCTTCACACTTGCATCATTCGATCTGAACTGCCTTTAAAGGCAGGGTCTACGCCGGTGTCACCATGATTTCAACGCCCAATTTTTAAGTGGTCCACCTTTTTACTGCAATCCCTACCCTACCTGTACCAAAGCTCGAACCCTCTAATCCAACGTGGCAGCAAGGTCCTATAATAACCGCAGCAGACAGTCCTGCAACACTGGTGGACCGCAAGGCAATAGAAACCCTGCAGGTGTGAATTACACTAACAGGACTCCGCGCCCTCGTGCAGTACCGTTTACCCTGTGTTTACTTCCCGCTCTCCCTATCGGAATGGGGAACAAAGCTAACAAATCACTAGTTTTAGTGGAGCCTTTGTGTCAGACAAAATTAATGCATAATCTAATAAAACATAAACAGTCATATTGCAGCCTAAATCTTCCTATTTTATGTGAAACAATTTTAATATGGAAGAAAAAATTCAGTCAAACGAAGCAACAATGTTTTGACTAAAACACCTGAATGTGCCCCGCACCATACAAGCTGGGAAACTTGAGCACCACTCCCCTTGGCACATTGTCAGTGAACAGTAACGTAGCAATCAAATTTACGAGATCATGTTTCTACAAAATTAGTAGTTAGAACACTTGACTACGATCAGTTTTGCTGTTCAGGAAACACACGAAAATATCCACGTGAACTTTCCGAGCCTGAATCTTGTGATAACATTTGTGAATTGAGACTTGCACATGATGTCCTTTTATTCTTGAATACCAGGTATATGATTTACCCTAAGAGATAATCTCGATTGGTGAATTTCTGAATCTTGCCCTGGCAAATTGTCAGGATAAATGAAACAAAAACGTGCACGGACAATGATTCGTGTTCCCAATCCTTCTAATATTTTTGTCCCTCTCTATATGATGCGCGCATAATGACGCATCTATGACATACAGCATACTAATGGCATCTTTATGAGGGGAGAAACATCATTTGGGAGATTATTGCATCGTGCGGTGCTGGGTGCATGTGTTGTGTGTGATTACTCCGGTGGACTAAACACTCCGAGATTAGGTAGGTACTAGCTGTTGCTGGATATTCATCAGAGGCGTCGTCATAATTATGAAGTTGAGATTGATCATGTGTATGTTATTCAGTAAGGCTGAGGAATGAACACACTGCCGGACTGCAAAAATACACGTTACGCCGAACACCTCGGGCAAAGTAGAGACATCGCGGCAGAAATGTCAGCGCATGCACGCAGCATCACCAAATCCAATGCAGTGTTATTGGTGACAGGGCCAACTATGCTATGCTATGCAGGATATTTCTCTATCAGACAAGTTAAGTACATCATCAGGTGAGTGAAGCAGATGAGTAACAGCTTTTGGAGGTCCTTGGACATTGCTGGCTGCATGCTGGTGATGGGTACTTAGCAGGACGTATCACTGTGGTAAACCCCTCTGGCAATGCCTGTTGTAGAAGTTTATACACTGATGAATGCATTGTGTGTTGTCTTCTTGTTTCTTGTCTGTCTGTCATGTATTAATTGCATAGGAATGAGACATTTCAATTTTTGTTTGCTTAATGAAATCAGAAAAGAGCTGTTAAACTATGCAAGGAGAAATATGGCAACCAGATTTTGAGGCTCTTTATAAGCTTCCAAGTTAAGCTTTGTAAAGTATGCAATGGTTTTCCTTTTGCTTCTTAATATAAAGCCATATATATAAGAACATGTCTCAGATGTGCAGTGCAAGTAGTAAGCATGCATAGGAGTATTGTATCATGTTACCTTTAAAATGAAATCAGGACATCATAATCACATCATCACATTTTGCACATCACTGGTATAGTCACCAGATACAGGAGGGCTGATGGGGTGGGGGGGGGGAGTGGGGGAGTGAGGGGGGAGGAGGGAGGGAGGGCTAAATTTGCATATCAAATGGGAAAAGGATAAGCTGTCAGGTATTTAGGAAGTTTATCAAAGACACGAACAGCAATCATGAAGTGTCCAACATAGGGAGATGAGCTCACCTGCTCAGGTCATCTTTTGGGGCTCCTGGTCTCAGAGCATATAAGGAAAGAATGTTTGAGGAGGATGAAAGCTGAATGCAGCACTGCATGCAAAATCCACTGGTCATGGGCATCCACAATGGGTAAGCCTTGAAGACCAGGGATTTATATCTGTTTGATTCCATTCATCATGCAAGCAAGGTTTTGGATCATAGATGTCTGGCATGCAGAAGTCTATGCTGGGTCTTATGGTATGTAAAAATATAAGATAATTAGCTATCACTGCAGGACAGGTGGGTTTAAAGTGTGTTTGCCCCCTCAACTTCTGGACTGGGGAGGTGTTCCACTTCCTCTGCCCCCCCTCCTCCCCACTTTGACATGGCCAACCTTTAAATTTTGCTTGCACAATCAAGTTTCTTTTCTTCTGGAAGCCTTAGAAAAAAATGAATGTCACTTGTTATTTTTATCCACAAAGCTCAATACAAGTTGCTTCTGACTTTGCATTCCTTCATTTTTCTTTACACAAATGTCCCCAACTTGTAACAACAATTTGGTTTAGTAGAAGCTGCTGCTTTGCAGGTTCTTATCTTAATGCCCCACTGTCTGCAATGAATAATCTGTGTGCTGTTTTGTTTATATCTGACCATTTTATTCCTTATGATCATGTCTATCACACATAGCAGGACCAGGCTAATGAGATTTCATCCTGGCTCTTGAGATGGCCATAGAGACAATGGCACAAGCTTTTGGGAAAAATATAAAAGGACAATGTCCAAGAATCTGCTATCTAGCAGATCTGATTGATGCCTGTTCTTGTGGATGGGTGCAACAACAGTACATGTTTGCACTTCACTGAAGGGCAGATTTGATTAAGGACTTGTGGAATACCTGATTCAGGGGATAAGCTGCATGCTGAGCACAACTCTTAAGCAGCATCAGGTGAATCTTGTGCACAGTGACCAAGCAGCTTGTGTCAAGAGCCTGAAGGATACCAAGGGCATCTTGCTCGTGGAGAACAATGGTTGCTGTCAACTTTTTGGCAAATTGCTGTGCAGCTGCTGCTGATTGTGGGGACATTCGCACATCAACGTCTTCAAATGACGTCGCGAAGGACCGTGCTGTCATGCTGAATCACCTGTGGGACTTCCATCATTAGTTTGAGAATGCCTGATATTGTGTCAGAAAGCTTTCAGTTTTTCTGACAATCCTTTCTTATACTCGGTTGAGAAGCGATGAAGGGATTTCCTAGCCTAGCATTCGCGGCGAAGAGCGTTCTCAGGCCTCCGTTGATCCAAAGATGTGCTGCAGAGGGGTCTGATTTCTTCCTATTTTATCCAGGCATATTTCCTCCTATTGCGTGGGCTGGTCGGCAGGCTGGCTTTCCATGAAATCGAACATTTGCGCTGTCGTCGGCCGGCGGTACAAGCTCGTCCAACAGCAACATAAACAAATTCAAGAAATAAATAATATGTTCCCGGAGTATTGCGGCGGTCCAGTTCAAAGTGCCGATTCACTCCCGCCGGTCTCCACGAGACCAAGTGGCATCCACCCTTGTTGATGCCACTTGTGGATGTGGATGTGGATCTCCTAACGAGTCTGGTGTGATGGCAGGAGATGTAAACGTGTGATCGAAGACGAAGCCAGCGGCCGCTCATAGTGGAATACTGGTGACAGCCTGGCAAGGGAGGCAGACATTGAACCGAGCCCTCCTATCATACTCGTTGACATTGAACGGAACCCTCCTATCGTACTCGGTGATAAGAAGCAGGGCTGAGGTGTCCCCAGAGTGGTGGAAACGCGCGGTTACCCACAGGGCTAGACCAAGTGTGGCAAATAATTCAAAGAACAGACTGTCTGGTTGACACGTATGGTTTAGAACGTCGCCCGTGTCACAGACAAGAGAGGGGAGATTTAGGCGACCCAGCACTAAGATCTCCTGGTCTGATCAGGATCTCAGTAGGCAATCGGTTCGGGCTTTTACTAGAACCGGTGTGACGGACCTCACACATCGACCTGAAGTGTTTCCGGTACTATCACCTGTTTATCTTTTTGCAGCATTGGTGTTAGTCTCATGTGGGGTAACTCGGGATCGCCAAAATATAAACCACGTTTTAGGCTGTTATGCAGTTTTTTTTTCTCAGAAAGAAATGCAGTAAATCAACTGGGAACTATATTCGGTTGATATGGCGTTATTGCATGCGGCTGTCCTGATGGCTGAATCGATGCGCCTCGTTTTGTCAGCGTTCAGCTGTGGCTCTGTCTACCTGCGCTCACGCTCGTCATTGTGTGTGCTCGCTTTTACAACTGTGACCTCTCCTTTCACAGGCATGGTTTCCGTGGGACCGCGGTTCTTCGCGCTCCTTGTTGTGTCAGTGTTTCTGTTCTACTTAACAGTGATACATTACGAAAACCGCTTGGCGTCACTTCAGTCCCGTCTAGCCTATGTTGGTAAGTAAATCGATTTTGAAATGGTGTGCACATTCGGAATCGCCGAGTGCTGAGCTTTTGTATGATGTTCTCGATGCCTTTATGTGGGCCTTTGGGGCGCTTCCAACGAACCGTGCAGTGTACGTTATGTCAAAAATTCTAGCTTATCTGTCAACTTCTCATTTTTACTCAAAATGGAATGGTTTGTTTAATAATTGTAAGGCTAAATCTTGGACTATGATTCGGTGTGGAGAAGAAAACACAGGTACTTGATTTCCAACGCCATGAATTGATGTAAGGCGTAAGCATTGTGAAGCCGTACTTTCGCCCTAAATGTGATTATATCCTGTGTTTCAGAACGCCACATGTCATCACCACCGGAGAGCTTTCCTAGAGACGAAACTATTGTCATTTACAACAGAGTGCCAAAGACTGGTTCTACCACATTCATGGGCATCGCCTATGACCTGTGCGTGCGCCATAACTACAATGTCATTCATCTCAACACCTCGAAGAATGCTCACGTCATGTCCTTCGTTGACCAGGTAAAGCTTATTGTCTCCATTCGCAATGCATGCCATTGGTGTATTTTGATGTGTACTATGAAATGACTGCTGTGCGTTTGCATGGAGGGAACAAAAAATGTGGCGCCGAAAAATTGGATGCAAAATTTACTTGCGAAACTCCCGTGCTTTGCACTTCTGTGGAGGCAAGATATCGTCAGGAGCGATTTTTTATGATACGGAACATCAAAGCTGTGTGGAGAACACTTCACGTGGTGAATGCAGCTATTCGGAAGCTTGATGTCGGCTCTGTAATGATATACAGAAGTCGAGATCATGCGCAATGAGATGACCGATATATATATATATATATATATATATATATATATATATATACTTATTTATTTACGGGTAGTGCCGGCCACCCCCACTACGGCAGGCACAGCGTGACGCATGTATATATATATATATATATATATATATATATATATATATATATATATATATATATATACATATACATATATATATATATATATATATATATATATATATATATATATATATACATATATACATATATACATATATATATATATATATATATATATATATATATATATATATACATGCGTCACGCCGTGCCTGCCGTAGTGGGGGTGGCCGGCACTACACGTAAAGGGGCCGGTATATTCGGTTAAAATGAGTACATGAACGTAGGTTTTAATGTCCCGCTGTTGGTGGTCCTAAATGGATGCAAGATGATGATATTTATGGGCATGCAATCCGGTTGTTTAGCATGTTCGGAGCACAGAATCGACGGACTGGCTTAAGAACAAAACAAGTCCATGCTGCCTTGTCTGACTTCAAAAAACGTGTTAAGTGACTCTTGAATACCTAGAAAGGCACCCAAAGTGCCTTGGCCTGAGGTTGAAAACTGTCGCGCTTGCGTTTGGCATCAGGTTGAAAACTGTCGCGCTGTTCAGGTAAGACTTGTTCGCCCCGCAGCGCCCCCGTAACTGGAAGGCTTCTACAAAGGAGCGCCCTTTCACCCCAAGGATGCAGGCTAACTTTGAGAGCTCATTGGAGACTGCATTGCCACGCCTTGTTTTGCGTGCGGAAACTAATTGATGTGCATCCTTTTCAAACGTCACCGTCGTCTTCGTTCAGGTAGAGTTCGCGAAGAACATCACGTCATGGAAGAGCCGACTGCCGGCGCTGTACCACGGACACATCGCCTTTATCGACTTCGCCACGTGAGTGACGTCATCGAGTCGTGTTCGGTTTGTCGTCGCGTCGATGCTATCCGCCCGAACGCCTCCTCATCGCGGGCTGCTCGCCGCCTTGCTATTTCCTGCGCCAGAACGTGTGTGTTGGCCACTTGCGGCGCGCTTCCGCGTGCCGATCGCCGCGTTATGACGACCGCCAATGCGCCGGTCCGCTCCCCGCAAGGCTGCGCGCGCTGCAGCCCCGTTCGCCAGGGTGTGTCGTGGCCCGCTGGTGGCGCTGCTGTGACCTGTGCCGTGACCTGTGCCGTCCCGCCGCGCAGGCTGGGGCTCAGTCAGCGGCCGGTCTACATCAACCTGGTGCGGCGGCCGCTGGACCGGCTGGTCTCGCACTACTACTTCTTGCGCTACGGCGACGACTTCCGGCCGCACCTGGTCCGCAACAGGGCCGGCAACACAGAGGTCAGTGTTGGTATGGGGAGATCAGCAACATAAAGGTCAGTGTCAGCAGGGGCGGGGCTGGCAACACACAGGTCGGTGTCAGCAGGGGCGGGGCGAGCAGCACAGACGTCAGTGTCAGCAGTGTCAGCAGGGGCGGGGCCGGCGACACGGGGTAGTGTCAGCAGTGTCAGCAGGGGCGGGGCCGGCGACACGGGGGTAGTGTCAGCAGTGTCAGCAGGGGCGGGGCCGGCGACACGGGGGTAGTGTCAGCAGTGTCAGCAGGGGCGGGGCCGGCGACACGGGGGTAGTGTCAGCAGTGTCGGCAGGGGCGGGGCCGGCGACACGGGGGTAGTGTCAGCAGTGTCAGCAGGGGCGGGGCCGGCGACACGGGGGTAGTGTCAGCAGTGTCAGCGGGGGCGGGGCCGGCGACACTGGGGTAGTGTCAGCAGTGTCAGCGGGGGCGGGGCCGGCGACACGGGGGTAGTGTCAGCAGTGTAAGCGGGGGCGGGGCCGGCGACACGGGGGTAGTGTCAGCAGTGTCAGCGGGGGCGGGGCCGGCGACACGGGGGGTAGTGTCAGCAGTGTCAGCGGGGGCGGGGCCGGCGACACGGGGGTAGTGTCAGCAGTGTCAGCAGGGGCGGGGCCGGCGACACGGGGGTAGTGTCAGCAGTGTCAGCGGGGGGCGGGGCCGGCGACACGGGGGTAGTGTCAGCAGTGTCAGCGGGGGCGGGGCCGGCGACACGGGGGTAGTGTCAGCGGTGTCAGCGGGGGCGGTGCCGGGGACACGGGGGTAGTGTCAGCGGAAGTGGGCTGGTAGCACATGAGTCAGCATCAGGGGGCTGGCAGCACAGGTCAGGTCATCGGGCCGCCGCCACTGTTTCGCTGGATGTGGCCTGCATGCGGCGGCCGCCGCCGCCGCCGCCGCTCCGACGCCGACTGACGGACGCGGCCCGCCGGCGGGAGGGAGCTGGCCGGGCGGTGTGTTGGCGGTGGGGCGCGGCTGGCGGGGCCGCCTGGACCGACGAGCCGGCCCGGTCCCGCTCCCGCCGCCGCCTCGGGCGTCAGCGCGCGGCTGGGTGGCCGCCGCCGCCGCCGCCGCCTGCTCCGCGGCACGTGCGGCTGGCCCCCTGTCCGGCCGCACGTGCCGCGGAGCCGGCGAGCCGGGTCGTGTTCGTGACGTGTTGCGCCGCTGGGGTCATGACAATGACTTCTGTGTAGTCGGCTGGCATGTTTGGCGACGATCTGAACATTGGCAGGATGCAATCGGTTCACGGCCAGGAAGCCCAACCAATTATAACGAATATGAGCTTTGTAGCGCGGATGTCGCCTTGAAGTGTTGCTTTAAATGTATCACATTGCGAGTCTAACATCCTGCTTCCAGACGTTCGATGACTGCGTTAAGCTGAAGCACTCTGACTGCAACCCCCACCTGATGTGGATGCAAGTGCCGTTCTTCTGCGGAATGATGGCGTTTTGTTGGTGAGTCATAAGCTTTGGCACAACTTTGACGGCAAGGTTGTTTCTTTTCGAGCCGGTCGAAGACGGCTACACTTCCATTTAGTGCGTCACTTGGGCGGGGGGGGGGGGGGGCGGGGATGATATGCGATGGTTCAGGTTCCTTTGTGCATGCTTTCTAATAAAGGCGTTTGTTATGTATATTGTAGTGCCTGTGAGCGAAAATGTTGTGTCACATGGTGACGCCATGTCGGCTGAAAGAGAGCGTTAGAAGCGCTGTTAACTCGGAGTCTTTCATCGTCTCGGTTCGTAATCGCCTGAAATCGCTTCATTGATGTTGAACGCCTTTGATGATCGCCTGCTTTTGCTATGTGTTTTGGCTGTTGCAATTTACTTGTGCAGTCCTGCTTTGCGAGCATCAAAGCGAAATAATCATTTGGGCGGCACAGCCCGTTCGGTTGGAGTGCTCTGTTAGTACTGTGGGCGGAATGCGTCTTTTGTTTAGTAGCGTCAGAGGGGACGCGGCGAGCGGAAAACCTGCAAAAAACATCTAGTGTTAGGTTAGAAAATGAGATATTTCGTTTGATGCTATGGGAGTGACGGGTTAGAAACCGAGATATTTCGGTAGATGCTATGGGAATGAAGGGTAAAAAAGAAAGTGATTAGCGTCGCGCATGCAGGCACGTTTAGAAAATGAAATCGTGAAAGATGACATGTAACATTTAGTATGAATATGCTGCGGTGGTGCAACCAAATTTTCTTGGGGGGGGGGAGAGGGGAGGTGGCTTGGTGAGTAGGCGTCACGTGACGTTCTATCTCGTTTGGTAGACATCTGAGACGAAAAAAATTGGGCCTTGGGAGGCCCCTCTTCCTCTAGCCTGTGCCCCTGTTATGCCGCCTCCCCATGTGTGGTTGCTCAGTCCCAGCAGAACCGCGTAATCATGACCCATGACTCGCACCATGTTGAGGGGACCAGTGTCGCATGTTGAGGGGACCAGTGTCGGACTTCCCGGCAAGCATAAAATATGAGTAGTTTTGCCGGAGTAATAGCTCAGACAGCTCCCATATTTCAGACAGCATCACCTCTGGATGCTTAGTGGGTTCCCACGTGCCTGCCCTGGGCATCCGCTGGGCGTACAGTGTGCTCTTCCCGGCCACCAGAGTTACACCTCGCTTAAGGACCCTTATAGCCACTTAAGGCTTTTTTGGCTGCTCAAGGTTTCTTCTGAACACGATCGGGTGTTGTTAACGCGACATCGGAACTTCTCAGGGGCTCTTTAGCCGCTCAGGGGTCGTATTGACCTCTCAGGGCCTCACCAGACCGGTAATGGCCCGGTTAGCTGTCATAGTCCTTCCATAATTACCAAGGCCCCTCCCCGGCCATCGAATAGTCTCTGACCGGTGGCGTTTGCCTCTGACTACTCAGAGGCTTCACTTGTTGCGAAGAGCGTCTCCCGACGCGCATTGATGCTTGTTTCGCTCGAGGCCTCGGGAGCATTTCTGGCCACCCAAGTGCTCGTCTGGCTATTGGGGCACACAGACTGCTGCGTGGTCCGTTTGGTCGCCAAAGACACTGAGTTGTATCCCCACGACCCTCTGGACCCCCGGGGTTCTCGCTAACTGCTCAGGGCCCTTTTGGCCGCTCAGAGGCGTCTCACGCCGTCCAAGAGTCCTTCTGGCTGCCCCCTCATCGCCCGTTCAGGTCGAACGCCCATGGCTATCTGTATGCCCAGTGCCTATCTGGCTGCCTAGAGGCCTGTTTGGCCACCTGAGAAGCACCCTGACTACCGAGAAACCCTCCAGACATTGATATACCTCTTTGTCTACTCAGTGCCTCTCTGGTCGGCCAGATGTGTTGACCTGCCCGCTGGACGTCTGGCTGCTGCGGGGCCGCTCTGGCCACTGGAGAGCCCTCTGACCATTGAGATGTTCCTCCCGGTGTCCAGAATGTAACGGGCCGTTCACGGTCTGTTTAGGCACCCAGAGCCTTTTACATACAGGAGGCCGGCTGAATTCTCGTGGTCCCTTTGAAGGCGGCCAGTGCCACAACGCTAAAGCCTACTTTCTATGATAGCGGGACCGGCTGTCCGCATTCGGCCGCAGGGCGCCTGTCCAACTGCAGTTCGGCGACTATCGAGCCCCCATCAGCTCGGTGACCTTTGCGGTCGTGACCACAGCGCCCCATGTACCGGTGTCCGGTCCGCCAGCGATGCCCGTCGGACCAGCACCATTATGCATGGCCCAGCGTGGTTGTTCGCCGGTCACCAGTACGAGGTGGCCAGGTCCGGCGAGCATAGATAAACGGCGGCCTCGGCTCGTCAGCTAGCTGCTCCCTACACCATGGCAACCAGCGTGGAGGCTGACCGGTCTTTAGAGCGCTAGTGGGAACTGAGAGCGGAGGAAAACTTGCTTCACAAGTGCTTCCATGGCAGTATATTGGTAGTGGAAACATTTTGTTACCGGACAGTTGTGCGTGGTTTGGGTGCACCCCGCCCACACCCAGGCACACCCGAGCGTGCCTGGTGACGGCTATTTTAATCACCGGGCCTGACATGTTGTCATCACCTTGACCCAACAGAAGTAGTCTGACCCCAGCCGATGTTCGCTGTTATTGGAGCTTTACGACCATTTCTCACTCACTTGCAAGCTTATGCCTGGTTTTCCCTAGTCGCTGCTCCCTTGAGGCTTTTAAACAAAATTCGCGTGCGAAGTGCCGGGAGCTCGATCCAGGAGATCGGCGTAGCCTTTGGTCGTCTCCCGCGACGAACGGCGCGTGAGATGGCGACGGTAGAGATTACCTTAGAAACCACGCCACTGAAAGTTCGACACATGATATCGAGAAAACCACGGTGAAAGGAGTTTGCCCTGTACTGCAGCGTGTTTCAGTTTCTTTAGTGCGAGCTTTTAATACGTTTTATACGGCATTTTACCTATTGTTTTTTTTTTGCTTAGGCTTGATTGGTTTATTGTAGAGTAGAGTTCAACTTTGTTTTTGATTTGGCATCTGGGTTATTCTTCAGTTGAGGTCACCTCATACCTTTGAGCCATTTTACACACGGCATGGGCCAGCATGGTCGCGCATATAATTAAGGGTGCAAGCCTGCAGCGGCTTGCGCATTTTGTATTCGTCAGCACTGAATACATGTCTATTGTGCATGGCTGCATATGTACGCTTGAGCGGCGAACGGCGGTCGTCAGTGCTCAGTGCTGATAGGGAGTGGATACATGTTGATCCGAGTGTCAAATGCCGTTTGCAGGTACTTGGTTCCTGCGGCCAGCACCTCTGTGTGAGTGTTAGGTTCTTCCCGTGAGTGTTAGTTCCTGAACTGGGTGTTGAGTGTGGGTTCTGTGTGCTGGTTCCTAACCGACAGGTGCCAAGGCCTGCCCGTGAGTGCCGAGTGCCGGCTGTTGAGTGCCGAGTGTCCGTCCATGAGTGCTGAGTGAGGTACGACCGTCGCCGCAGGGAGCCTGGGAGCCGCGAGGCGCTGGAGCACGCCAAGTATAACCTGGCGCACCACTACCTGCTGGTGGGCACCACCGAGCGGCTGGAGGATTTTGTGGCATTGCTGGAGGCAATCATGCCCGACATGTTCGCCGGCGCCGGCCGCTCCATGGAACGCGGTCAGTGATGCGACTCAATTGACGCTGCAGGATACTCACCGCTCCTCGTATCCACCAGTCCTGGCGTAACTGATGATCTTGAGTGTGAGGGTGTTGATAAACAAGCGGCCAATTTTGAAGTCCGTTTTGCCGGTCGTGGTAATGCTGTCCAGGCTTTGCTGATGTCATGTCTGAGACGGGCTCTGACCTACCCCGCATCCCCACATCCCCACATTCTATCACTGGCTCTGACCTACTGAGGAACCATCGCGGACTGAAACATACTTCCATCGCGTCGCTGATGGGACACAATGACGCGTCTTCACCGCGTGACAGCTCTGACAGTCACAGCGCACGGACCGGATAAGCGGCCGTTTCAGTATTGGCGGGGCGCGTTATTATTATCATCCAGGGCTGACCGGGGCATGCTGACGCACCCTGCGAGTGTGCTGATACTGTGTGGTGTATCGCCGCTGCAGCAAGTGACCACCACCAGAGGTTTTAACAGCGATCTTTTTACCTGCAGTGGGAAAGTCACACTTGCGAAGGACACAGAAGAAGAAGGAGCCTTCCGACAGGAACGAAGCAGATTATCCGCCAGTCGGAAGTGTGGCAAGTTGAGAACGAGTTTTATGAGTTCGTCCAGGAGCAGTTCAACTTTGTGAAGCATAAGACAATGACGTCAGTGGGCGGCAAGCTGACGCCACTGCAGCGCGGCTACCACTACGAGAAGCTCCGTCCCAAGTAGCGGCAGGACTGGCGGGTGGAGCGAGGTGGTGGCCGCTGGCCAGCCGGCGGCGCCTCCCCCCGGTCCCGGGTCAGCGGGCCGGCGGCGGCGAGACACGGGCCCCGAGCAGGCATCAAACGACGCCAGACGACGGCCGCACGGGCAGAGCTGCCGCGGGCTGGTCACGGATAGGGTGTCGGTGGAGAATGGACGGCCGGCCCTCAGGAGGGCCGTGTGGGCGCCGTGTTTGGGACCTGAGGTTCCAAAATGTGATGAAGGCGCTGGTTTGGAGTGGATTCGGTATGGCGAATTTTGTCTTCCACTCACGTGTTATCGTCGCGTGGCCCAAGGGTTTTTCCAGACGTTTACTACAGTCATCAGTAGCTTATATATTTATCACACAGGAAGACATAATAATATGCCATTTCTCGTGCATGGGTGTACTTGTGTGAAGTTATTCTTCTAGCCTACCGCCTTTTTATAGCCCTATTTTCCTTGTTTCGTTGCAGCATATTAGTTATTCGAACTTGGTGTGCAAGGTTCGACTCATTTTTTAAAAAAAAACAAATCAACATTTTCATGTGATGACATTACGCACGCCGACATTGCGATGTTGGCATTTCGGAACGTTTTTGACCGTGCTACCGTGACACGCGTCTGCTTAGTTAGCCTCTGGGTCAGACGCCGTTGAAGACACCTTTTGTGACTGAGTGCGTTCATCGTCAACGGATGTGACAGCGCGTGGCCACTGTTGGAGCACGCGCTGATGGGTTATGCGTTTAGATAACGCGCTTTGAGACAACAGCATCTATCGGACCCTTACCGCAGCCAGTGTGCTCGTCACCGTGCAGACCAACAGGGTTTAGCTGATCCACGCTTGGGAGGAGGACACACAGGGGCATTGTTTCTGTCGAATATGGCACTGCCATGTATGATCTGCTCACGTCGGTCGGTGTCCATCGTGTCGGACTCCCGACATGGGTTCCGGTTGTGCCATGCAGTGAAGCACGTCATCATGATCCGCCCATAATAGGTTCCAGCAGGTTTCGTTTTTACCGCCCTCGTAACCAGCCTCGCCCGGTTATACCAGCAAAATGCGTTGATCTGGTAGCACAGGCTAGCGATGTGTTCATGATATCCGTCGTGTCAGAATGTCGTGATAGGGGCTGGAGATGCGCCTAACTGGCGCTGTCGTGGCGCCTAGGTCGGCTGGTGTCGCGCTTGATTCATATTTGTCTGCAGATGAGTGCAGTTTGAGTCATGATGTCATGTTGGTGTTCTCTTAGTGTTGGACCTCTTCCAGGATGTGCTTGGTTGTAGCCAACAAACGCATGTTCGGTTGCGCTTGTACTTACAGAATACTCCGTCAGGGTCATTTCCTGTGAGTTTAGGTAATGTTTCAATTTTACAATCAAAGACATTAGTCATGCTCCTCAAAAATCCTTGTATGTATACAGAGAATGCGTGGCGACAGCATATTTATGATGCTGCCGACAACCAGTAGACGAGTTCGGGTTATCTTGGATATGAAAAGCTGTCCACCTGCTCGGCGCCGCGTACAAACATGCCAGACCTGAACTCCGAGGTGCCGCTGGAAGACGGCAAACATTAAACGGTTGTGTACCAAGGGGCCCTTTTCCCGGATCTGTTCGACACCGAGCACATAAAATTATCGGACAAATATAAATACATCCTGGTGTAGTGCATCATTAAGAGATGGCGGTTGGGGTGCCGCCAAGTGAAGGTGGGTAACATCCGTGATAACGAATCTCGAGTCTAGCGGCGGCGCTGCTGACGGCGCCGCTGGGGCGGCGCTGACACACCGTAAAGCTCCATCTCGTGACGCGCGTGTCTGAGTGCGTGTGCGTGTGCATATTTATAGCTGTGCTGTTGCGGGGCCCGCGTGCCCCTGTGGGCGGCGGTCGGCCGGAGCCGGCCAGCACGTGCCGGCGGCGGCGGCGCGGGTCTTGACCCTGGCCGGCCGCCGGCCGTGCGGCTGCACCGCTCTATTTATAGGCCCTCACGTCTGTGGCCGTCTCGCACGGGCGCGTCGCGGCCAGCCAGCCACGCGGTGTGCCGCACGTGCGCTCCGCGGCTGGGCGCCGCTGCCGACTGCGGGGAGGTGGGCCGCACTAGCCCCCGACGCCGATCGCACGTGGTGGCGGAACATCGGCCGGCGCCGGCGGGGCTATCGCCTCACCTTGCGCGGCGTGTGACGCTCGTGTGACAGCCTGCCTGGTGCCGGGCGCCTCACCGACCGGTGTTGGGAGCAGTGCGGCGCTCAATTGCTGTAGGCTTTCGGGCGCGGATTCAGCCCACGACATGATAGATGGCTGTTATGTGCAGACGCTTCTGTTGTGTGCGGTAAGGCCTGCTTGGTGACGAAAGCATGCCCCATGAAGACGCTTTAATACACATGTTTTCGTCAGCGGGGCGTGTTTCGGTGCGGCCGCTCGTCTGGCTTCAGGGCGAGGTGACCCGAGGATGACAGAATCCGCCGCCTTCGCTGGCCCGTCTCTGTAGCTTCTGGCCCGACTTTGGCGGAACCCGCTGCCTTCGCTGGCCGGTCTCTGTAGCTTCTGACCCGGCTTTGGCAGTACTCGCCGCCTTCGCTGGCCCGTCTCTGTAGCTTCTGGCCCGACTTTGGCAGAACCCGCTGCCTTCGCTGGCCGGTCTCTGTAGCTTCTGACCCGGCTTTGGCAGTACTCGCCGCCTTCGCTGGCCGGTCTCTGTAGCTTCTGGCCCGACTTTGGCAGTACCCGCCGCCTTCGCTGGCCGGTCTCTGTAGCTTCTGGCCCGAGTTTGGCAGAACCTGCTGCCTTCGCTGGCCGGTCTCTGTAACTTCTGACCCGGCTTTGGCAGTACTCGCCGCCTTCGCTGGCCGGTCTCTGTAGCTTCTGGCCCGACTTTGGCAGTACCCGCCGCCTTCGCTGGCCCGTCTCTGTAGCTTCCGGCCCGACTTTGGCAGTACCCGCCGCCTTCGCTGGCCCGTCTCTGTCGCTTCTGACCCGACTTTGGCGGTACTCGCCGCCTTCACTGACTGGTCACGTTAGCTCGCGACTAGCGGCACCGCATGCGACACCGCTCCCACGGAATGACTTCAGATTACCAAGGCACAGCTGGTCAGGTCAATTTTGACGCTGATGCAGGGTGCCGCTTCAGGCACGCAACGGAGACGGCTTCATTTCGACTCAGACATGGTTTGGTGAGAATTGGTATGAACGTTACCATATATGCATTTTGCCATATATATTAGTCATATGTGCATATATATATATATATATATATATATATATATATATATATATATCAGAGCAAGAACGTGGGTCTTTTGCCTTTGCCATTTGAGCCAACCAGTCGTTAGTTCAAGCCAATCTCACCGACTCATTTCGGACATGAGACTCCCTTCTCACAGCAACAGCTTCCCCCACGACCCTCTGGTCGACTCCGGGGTCGGTATTGGCTCCACCTGGCGTCTGGAGTCCAGCACAGTGCGTCCCCGTCCAGTGTCCATGTTCTCCGGCCCTGGCCGGTGGTTACGCCTATGGCGGCAGTGGCGGCCCCCGAGCGGGGGGGGGGGGGGGGGGGGCAGCGTGTGGCGGCAGGCGGGCAGCGGGCAGATCGAGCCAGTCTGATCCACCGGACTGGTTATTGCGCCCGATGATGAATATTTGTATTCACCGTACGGTGGAGATCGGGTTGGATGATGTCAGCTATCTCGCCAGACGTTCAAGGCTTGCCGCTGTAATAATAGGGCTTGCCGTATCTCCCTTGGCGTGTTATATTACTCATTCACGGCCCCGCCTCCCACGTGTTTTGCGCCTTAAGTCAAGGCCGCAGGGCTGGCGTTCTGACCGCTGTGAACTTGAATGATTATTTGATTCCCCCCCCCCCCCCCCCCGCCGCCCCAGCCAATTCGTCCCAACATTTCTACTTCCCCACTGGTAAAAACGACAGACCGGCGTCTCAAATTGCGTTTGACGCTTCGGATCCTCGTTGCGGCCGATCCTTGGCAGCATTGGAAAAACTGGTGGTTTTTGCCTTTACTCCCTATTGAGCACAGCCGGGTTCTCGTTACTGAAGCTTTGAAATAATTACCTTCTGATACGATTAGCACTCCTGGATGCGCTTAGTACTTCGCAATCTCCACGCCAGGTCAGCAGACTAGTTTGAGAAGCTTCCAGATGGCTCTCGACCAGCGGTGACATTCACCCATCTGTCATACCAGCACCCACCACCAGCAAAAACGACTAACGCGGATCTTAAATCTCCATACTGCTAAACACCTCAGTACAAAGTTCGCTCCTGGTCGGTGGGTACCCATCTTGAGTATGCCGTTTAAGAGCATGTCCGAAATTCATTCATGCCGAAAGGTCACGTCTGCGCGATCAGCTGAGGACTCGAGCGGCATATCCGGCCCAGTATATTTCAGAGTCTCAGGCAGTCAGTTTTATGCCCGCCTAGAATCCTAGCGAAATTCGCAGAATGAAAACACGGTTATCGTAGCATGTCTTCATTGTCAAAACAGGAGAGAAGTTGATCATCCGGCGACGAACCATTGCCTGTTGCAGGTGTTGGTCGTGGACAAATAGCCAGTGTTTGGAATTGTCATAAAATGACGATCCATTCTGAGCCAACGTTCCTTGCTCGCACAGGCAACGCAGATTCAACACCGAAGCAATTTTATTATTTGACAAAATTCGGCAATGTCAAATCAAACTAACAACTAGCGCTGAGGTACAGGTGCCGGCGCAGCCCAGCTACTTGGTCTTCTGCTTCTTGCGCGCCTGGTTCAGCTTCTCCGAACGCTCCCTGGCCTGCTCGTACAGCTGCACCAGCTTGCCTTCTTTCGCCAAGATCTTGAGTAGCTGTAGAACGAAATATGGTTACAGAAGTGCGGCTGGTTTCAAGATGTCTAATCCAGCTGACCCCTTCAAATCAGAAGGGCCCGCAGCCCCGCCCAAGGTGCTTCCTATAAAAATAACGTAAACAATCGCGCCCAAATGTTTAGTTGACGACCATACAAGATCATACACCTTCTCCCAAAGTACGAGACTCAAAAAGGCACGAGCGATGTCATGTTGGGGAGCGTCACGTCTGTCTAGTTTTGCATTCATCAGCCCGATAGCGTGTGCTTGGTAGACAAAATGCATTCAGAAGCATTGCCCTAGCGCTGTCCGGTATATTTGGTCATCACATGCTACATGCCGATCGTTGTGCATCATCATCAAATGCATCCCTGTAATGACATGCAGGATATTTGATGTAATGCTATCAAATATCGCGTTGTCCATGGTGCTGGGCCAATTATGCCGCGGAAAGGATTTTTAAGACAAAAGTTTGGCCTTTGTGCCCAGATTTCACACATGGGTAAAATTAACCAGCGTTTGATGCAAATTAGGCGGACGATATTCCTGGGGCCACCAGGTTCCAACCCGATGCCCCTCAACCCTCGTAACCCATCCCTGTCCTTAGCGCACAAAAAACTCGCTACGCCGGAGAGACTGAAATGGTTGGTACATCAAGGATCTCTTGCTGTCCATTCCAACGCAGTTCTCGGGCCTACATGTTTACTTCCCGAGATAGCATGGTCGGTTGTGAAGGCAAGCGAGCACTGCAAACGCCAGACAAACGCGCACACGTCGGGGGACTAACGACAGCTAGCGACTGTGGACGAGCCAGAACGGCGAGCCGAGCTGAGGCAGACCGCTGCATCGTTCCTCACCTCCATAATGAACGGGATGTAGTTGTGCTTGCGGCGTATGTTTTCCGTCCGGTAGGTCTCCATCTTCTTCTCTTCCTCGGAGATGAGCATCTGCAGCCGGGCCATCTCTGACTGCGCCGAGTCCGTATCCATTCCCGCCTCCTAACAAATGCGCGAGAAAGGAGCATGTCAGACGAGCACTGCAGAAGGCACCGACTCCCTCTCCCTCCCCCACCTCCACAGCGAGCCGCGCCGGTACGCGCTGGGCGCAGAGTCCGCGGCACGGCTTCTGTGTCTCGCTCCCCACCTCCACTTCCACAGCAAGACGTGCCGGTGCGCGCTGGGCGCAGAGTCCGCGGCACGGCTTCTGTGTCTCGCTCCCCACCTCCACTTCCACAGCAAGACGTGCCGGTGCGCGCTGGGCGCAGAGTCCGCGGCACGGCTTCTGTGTCTCGCTCCCCACCTCCACCTCCACAGCAAGCCGTGCCGGTACGCGCTGGGCGCAGAGTCCGCGGCACGGCTTCTGTGTCTCGCTCCCCACCTCCACCTCCACAGCGAGCCGTGCCGGTACGCGCTGGGCGCAGAGTCCGCGGCACGGCTTCTGTGTCTCGCTCCCCACCTCCACCTCCACAGCGAGCCGTGCCGGTGCGCGCTGGGCGCAGAGTCCGCGGCACGGCTTCTGTGTCTCCCTCCCCACACAGGCCCACACTCGTCGCAGCCAGTGTGCGGAGCATGACAACCCGCCTGCGTGTCTCAAAAAAACCTCCGCAGCTCTCCGCGAACTGCGAACCACATTTGATAGAAACAACCAGAACCAGAAACACTGAGCTCAGGCTGTTGTTGACCACGGCTGTCCAGTCTTCTATGCCACCAGCCCCCCCCCCCGCGATATATGTACTGTCGGCTTCACGTCTCACGGTCATCAGGCAATAGCGTTACAGCATGAGGCGGGACGGAAACAGACTAACAGCACTGTCAGCACTGATGACGGCTGTAGGCCAGAGAGCGGTCTCCGGTATAAGGGATGAACTGAAGCGGGTTCACTGCGGATGGTCACATTGAAGCCAGGTCTACAGGCTGAAGTGGGTAATTTCTATGTCACCATGCTCACCGCACAGAAGGTAGCACGCTCAGCGGACTCGATTGGTGATGCAACTGCGCGAGCACACCTATCCGTCACTCGCGACAGAGCGACACTCGTGCTCCGGTGGCGAGAGCACGAGCCAACCAGCATCATTAACTCCGCGAAGGCAGCCGCATGAGGTACCAAGCACGTGCGGCCATATCCTGACCTTGTCTTCAGGCTAGTGACCGTCCACCCACAAACGAGAACCCACCGACATCGAGCCTCTATCACACGGCTCCATGTCCTTGCCTATCGGTGAACGTCGCCCGGGCGCCCTGTGGTCATGACGCGGGCGCCGGCCCCCGGCTGTGCCGCGTCGGCCAGCCCCCGCCCGGGACTCACCTGAGCGCCGGCCTGCAGCTGGCGCAGCTGTTTCTGGTAGAGGGCGCGCCGGTCCGAGATGATGGCCATCAGGTTGAACCTGATCTCACCTTCGCTGTACCTGGTGGAGCACGCCGCGCCGTCAGGGGCCGGAAGTCAGAGACCGTGGAGCGGTTGCTATTGTTACAGCCCGCCCAACTGACGTCATCACAGCGTTTGACAATGCACATGACGCAGTACTGCCATGCAGGCGATGGATGAAACATAAACCAGGACATAC